CCAGAAACCAGCCAATGGGAGCCACCTGGGCTGTGCTTGTGGGTGTGTGAAGTGTGCAAAGTGGCCCCCAGAGGGTGTGCAGCACAGAGACACACATAGCCGCTTTGAGCAGCATGCAGAGGTACAGCAGGAAGGGAGCCTGCCTGAGGGTCCTGCTGGGTTGCTGGCCAGGAGCCAGTTAGGGTAAGCACCTCCCAGCCAAAGCTTATATCTGGCATCCCATCGCCTCTGCTCCCCCCTCTGCCCAAGGTCACAATCCAAACCCTCTGCAACTCCTCTTGTCCCAGGGTCACAACTCCTTCCTTAGACCAAACTTCCTCCTCCTAAACCCCAATACCCTTCCCCAAGCTTGCTTCTGCACCCAATCTCCATTCCAGATCCTGTACCTCCTCCTCCATTAATATAGAAGAGTGCAGTCTTTGACCACTTACCAAATTCTTAGAGTGACTATGTTTTGACTATGAATCCGTGCATCAAAAATTATTGCTCACCCCTGCTCTACATAATGGTAATGTTCATTATGTGATTATTTATGTGTTATTTTTATACTGCTGTTTCACTATGAAGTTTCAGAATCGCATGGGTTTGACCATACAGTTCTAGAAGTGAGCAGTGAAATCAATACAAATATTTGGCTCTGAGCCCACAAACCTTTATGGTGTGAGTAGTGAGTATGCCTGCTGGACTTCATGGACTCACATACATGAAGGGAGAGATTTTCAAAGATTATAAGTCAATGGAGTAGAGCATCTAACTCCCATTAGTACCTTTGAAAATCTGTCCTCAAGTTAGATAAGTCAATAATTGTTTGCAGGATCAGGGCCTTGTTTATTTTATCTTTTTTTCCTCAAGAAAAGTTGTGTATCTTACAATAATAACTGTACATTAGAATTATCATTTTAGACCTGACCCCTGACCCTGCAAGCTAGCCTGTACTGCTGCAATGGATTCTGTGCAAGCCCACGGGTCTCTCACAGGAAAGGGTCCTTAAACAGTCAAAAGCCAAGTCCTAAGTGTACTCTAGTAGCGTGAACCAGAGACTAAAACTCAAGCACACTTGACATAGCCTTCCTCCACAACCCCATGTCACAGCCTCCATCTCAGTTTCTCCACCTGTAAAATGGGGACAGTGAAACTCACCAAATTAACAGGTGGGTTCACCATGATTTAATGAAGTGGCTTGATGATGAAAGAGGATATATCCCTTGCTAAGCTAAATGTTAAAACTAACACCTTCAAAGGAAATCTTAATTTGCCTACACTGAAAGTGAGTAGTCTCTGTAGTGGCTAGTTACTGCACTCTGGGCCCAGGGCTGCCTGCTGGGACTTGCCCACACAGCTGCCCCCCTCTGCAGGGAGAGTTGCCTGGATGTGTTTGAGGGCGGAATTGGGCCAGATGCAAGGCCTGGTGTAAAATGAGTTCGGGAAGCTGCTGTGGCCAAGGCAGAATCGGGCCCCACAGGCTCCAGCAGTGCCATGTGGGCGAGTTACTCTGAGAGCCTCAAACTTCTGCGTGGCCTGGCTGGGGAGAGGGGAGGCTGGAACGCGGGCGCTGCACTGGCAATGGGCTTAGGGATGGACTCGTTTATTATCGGGTTCGCTTAAGTTTCTCGATGTTGCTCTCCCCCCGCCCTTTTCCTCTCTCTGTGTGTCCCTCCCCTCCCCCGACTCCCCCTCCCCGCTTTACCTTGACAAGTCCATAAGGCTGATGGTGAATGACTGTCTCTCTCCCCAGAGTCTAGGGTTCTGGGTGACATTCCCCCCTCCCCCCATGAACGGCGGTTGGGTTGCTAGCGCGGGAGCGCGCGCTAGCGGAGAGGGGGGTGGAGCGCGCGCCAGCAGGGAGGGGGAGGGGCGGTATTGACAGCAGCGCGGTGTCTGTAGCGCTGCCTCAGCGCGAGCGGCTCTCCCCCTCTGCCCCCCCTTCATTCCCGGCATGCCCCAGGGCAGCGGGGCTGGCTCTAACGAATTTGAATGAAGAGCCCTGCGCTTTCGGCGCCATTTTCGAGTGATGCCCGATCGCATCGCTGCTGCGGGGGAGCTGGAGCTGGCGGGGCCGCTGGGCTGGGCGCAGACCGCCGCCAAAAGTACGCGCTGCCCGAGGAGGCGCCCGCACAAGCGGTAAGCGGCCATTGGGCGTGTTGTCTGGTGAACCGGGCGATCCGTGACCCGCCTCCGGGAAATATCCCCCCCGAAACCCTGTCGGGGAGCGAGCGGTGGGGATCCCGGCCCCGGAGGCAGCAGTGGGGGTGAGCAAGGCGATGGTAGCGGCGTTCGCTCAGCCTTTCCGCCACTGTCCGTCTTTCCTGAGCCTGCGAGGATCGGGGCCCGGAGCGTCTGTCTCTCTCAGGTAACCCCCGCCGCAGGGCAGCTGAAGGCAGCCTCTCCCGGGCAGAGACCCTGCCTGCGATAGCGCCCGTGCCCCTCCCCTCGCCTTCGGGAGCGGCTCAGCCCCACGCAGAGATGGGCAGGGAAGTTAGGGGCAGACTGGGCACCCAGAGCACCCCGAGCGGAGGGCGCCCTCCCAACCCCCTTTTGGGGCGCCTCCCCCGTGACGTGACCGCGGCAGACCCGAGAGCGCTCGGGAGGCAACGATTGCTGGTTCCCCTCTTCTGCAGCCGCCAGCAGGGCTCCCCTCGCTCACAGCCTCCCTCTTGCCTCCCGGCCCCCAAGGCTTGTAACCCGGATTAGGGCCCCCCGAATAGCCCCTTTTCACACACACCCCACCCCTCCAGCCTCGTCTCCTTTCGATGAAGGCAGGTTGACTCCTCTGCCTCGGAGCTCCCTCACCCTCCCACTTTTTTAAGATCGTAATTTCCCGTGTCACGATCTCGAAGCCGCCTTTAACAGGGACCTGGCCCTGGGTGACGGTTGTGCTGCCGCACGCTGTCGCATTTATCATCTGCACCCCTTTGGCTAATGAAGGGCCAACGGGCTCTTAATTGAATATTACACATGGTTAATTTTTTTTAGCATTAACACCCGACTTTCCTTCCCGAGCTCAAAGGGAAAACGTCATTTGGGGCCATTTGAATTGTGCCAGTTATTTGTAGGTGCTTTTCGCCGTCTCCTCCCCCATCCCACCCCTCAAAACCTGAGTGACTATCGGCCCCATAGGCAGCGTAGCCTAATACTGTGATTAGAAGTGGCCATTCACCATCTCTTCTCCGCCTACTAAATTCTCCGTCTCTTGTCACCCAAGTCGCTATTTGTCATTGGCTTAGCTCTTTTTTAGTGGCTGTTCCTCTGTCAGATTTCGGTGGCCAGCAGTTCACGGTCTCCTCTAGGTTATGAGTATTTGTGTTTATGGTTATATGAAATGTGCTCACCCGCGCAGCGTCCGTGATGAGCGATTACCCCACTGCATACACATAATATGTGACACTGTGCCTTTTCCTCCACGACGCTATTTAACCCTGTCGGCACTGGATTTGGCGTGGGCGCTCACTTCGTAGTTGCGCACACACAAGAAAGACGTCTTTTTGTTGCAGCGGTTACTTGGTGGGAGTGTGTGGGGGATAATAATGTACAGGGGGCAGACAAGCTAACGCACAGCACTGCAAGCTCAGAAACAGGCAGACCATCTGGCTCCTTCCCAGATACAATTTCTAGCGCTACTTTTATTCCTCTGCCTACTTCCCCATTTGCTTTCGGCCGTCTGAACCTTTCTCAGATGCAGAAAGACATGTGAATATTTTCCCGAATCCTGCTAGATCCCTGGGCACCAATCTGCTTTTCTGGAGTACCCAGAACTTCCAGTGAATCCCTGGCAGTGTTGGGTGCGCAGTGAATTCAGGATCGGACCCTCATGTGCCACTTCAGAAAATACTGGGACCGAGTATACAGTCCCCCTTATTGGCTGCGTGCATGCATTACTGGGGCTTGAAGATTGGACTGGGTCATAGGATTTCTCAGTTTCTCCCTCTAACCCCCTCCCCTTTCCCCCGCGCGCGCATCCATCCACTCTCTGGTTAACGCCAAGAGTGTGTGCGTTTTATTTAGCACCCTCTCCACCGAAAATAATGAGTTAACAGAGTAACGTAGGAAGAGGGACGTACAAGAAGAGTTGGGGTGCAGAAGTGCTGTACAAAGGATTTCTATGTACATGGCTGAAGGCTTGTTAAGTTTTGTGTTTCTCCTTAAGGCTACATGTTAGCTGGATTCTAGTCATTTTCTGTGTAAGGCAGAAATACAATAGTTTAAGAACACATTCTTATTGTGATCCCTGGCATTTTCTTAGTTCTTAAATCCAATATGCAATCAGTCTATTCAGTGTCTATTTAGTTTCTCTAATTTATCTTTAAATTTAAATTTCTAGCTTTGAAGACTTAATTTGTTAAATTGTGATACTAATATTACCTTACTGCATGTTAACATTTATTTCTTTGGAGGCACATGATTACTACTTAACTGTTTTAAGAAACATTTTTAATACTTTGTGAAAAAATATGCACAAAGCTGTTTCTTTGTAGCTGAGTGAATACTTTTAACATATTAGTATTTGTACGGATTGACATTATTCAGCACTAGAAGTAAACTTATAAACACTGACTTTCACTTTCAAGAAAATAACAGTCCTGACTCATACTTAATTTAGAAAACAGAACAGGTAAGTATTGTACAGGTGCGTATACTTTATTTCATTCTCTGACATTCAAGTACATAGACTACATATAGAAAGCTTTGTTTTAGTCATATAAGAATGACAAATATTTTAATTATAGAAATTTAATTACATCAAACAATGATTTCCCTTTAGCTTTATTTTTTATTTCAGAATTTTACCATTTTCATTTTTATAATGATATAAATGTGGGTGTGGCTAAAAAGAGAAAGAAAGCAATCTGATACCAGTATACAGTGCACATTTATGTAATTTATATAGGCTTCCTGATACTTGATTTACTCATTTGATGTATTTGAGAAATTCACTTCGTTTAAATTGCACCTCCTAGTACTGCTTGCATTTTTCACCTTAGTTAAAATGTCAAACATTAACTGAGGTTTACTTGGCCTTAGAAAAGTTTAATTTGATATTGTCTCTCATAGATTTGTAGCTCTAATATAAATGTATTTATATTAGACCCATAAACTAAAGTTATAGTTAGGTAATTATGAGCTGATTATTGCTTATAATTTTATCATGAAACATAATCGGTATCATCTTTATAAATTGCTTGTTCAATTATTTTGGGTCTCAGAAAAACTTTTCAGATAGGCTCAGTTGTCCTATTAAAAACTGAAGTTATACTGAAGCTTCCCAAGAGGTACAGGGAGTTTCTAGTGTTATTTTTTGTTTGTCTTTGGTAAGTAAAAATCTATTGGAGATTGAGAGAACTTTTTTTAATAAAAAAAGACTATTTCCTAGAAATTTGGAAGTACGTGGATAGCTTTTATTGATATTGTGTGGTATTGCATTGGAAATAGACTATTTTAATTAACTTGTTAGCTAGATGATAAAGTTAGAATATACCATCTGTCGTCTTTTTATTTTTGCTAGGTTAATAGAATCTAAACGTCCTCTTGTATTTCACATGAAATAGTAAGAAAACTTATTTCTAAATTTAATAGTTTTCACACCCCAAGTTAATTGTTACTTTCTGTATCTGCATACATTAGAATTTATAGTTACATAGTGCTTGAACTGTATACACACTACACTACCTGCCTATAGGTACACACCTCAGGGGAAATTTATGTAGTCTATATTGGATCTCATAAGACTGTCCTAACAGGTGTATCAAAATATTCTGGAGTATTTTTGTGTGTGTGTGAAATATATATATATATACTTCCTATTTTGTATGCAGAATAGTGATGTAACTGTTTTTGTAGCAACTTATTTTTAATATTTGAGCTAGGAAATATTAAACTATATTTAAAAGGAACTGGGAAACTTAAAATTATGGTCTCTGCATAAGTCAGTTACTAGTCATTTCAGTAACTATATTCATTACTCCATCACAAAGTATCAAAGGTAGAGCATCTTAGACTTATTTTGATTATCTGTGAAAGCTATAGGGAATAAAATTCAGGCTTTTTGTCCAAATTACAATGAATTTTTATAGTAACTTTTAAAAAAACAAAATTGCATATTTTTACAGTATATACATATATTTTGGAAATATTCTCTGTGTATATATTTGCAATATCTAATAATCTATTACTAGATCTAGTGGTCAGAAAAAATATTACCTTTTTATTAACAATATTAATTTTTTTTGTTTGGACCAAGCTGAACTAAATCACTTTATTTTTATATATAGTCTATTACATTTCTGTGATTATTTACACACTAGTTTATAGGTAAGTTATTTAATTTTTGATTCTACTATTATTTTTATCTTAAAAATGTATTACTAGCAAAGTATTTACAAACACTGGAGGAAAGGTGAGACAAATAACAGGGATATTAATGGTGTCTAAGTTTAAACCTAAATGAAAAAGTTAGTATGCAGTTTTGTTTATTTTGTGAATTATTGGCACTTAATTCTATAGAATTGTTTATTAGGCACTAAAACAGTGACTATCAAACTTGAATGTTTTTTATTTTATCTCTAAATTATCACAAAAATGTTTTCATAATTTTGTGTGGTATGCTATATTTCTGAGATGGTAAGAATTGACTTGGTTTAAACTTTCTATCTTTGTTTAATATAACTTAAATCAATGCCTGTATTGATTTATTTAACCCTTTGTTGTAATTTTTGAAAAGGTCTAATTCTTCTAAAAGAAACATTTGGGTAGGTCTACACATTAGAGATTTAATGGGTCTATAAT